GAAGGAAGGAAGGAAGGAAGGAAGGAAGGAAGGATTATCAGAAACCTAGCAGATAAAAACGAGACCATCTCCAAAAATGATACTTGTTCAAATAAACCAATCGGAATTGACCAGTCCTGGTTCTTCAAAAAAGTGGGAAGAGAAGATGGTGAATTCAAACATATTGGCGCAATTGCTTTTTCATAATAGGACTGTTTCTTTCATTCTTTTTATTATTTTAGAAACCTGATGGACACAAAACTTGATATAGTCACATACTTCTTTTGGGGGGTTTACAGTTTGGTATGACATATGGCTTCTTCCCTATAGTCCTTATATCACTTAAAGGGGTATGTGTAATCCATGGTTTTTAATAAAAAAACTCTTTTCAAGAATTCAGAAACTCAGAATAATTCCTCTTCTAATTTGTCATTCTAGACTAATATTCTTTTGACTCTTTGAAAGCATTAATTAAATAGGAGTTTGCTTACTTGTTATTTAACCAACAGAATACATTTCAAACTTTAGTAAAATAAACAATATTCTTAAAAAAGCTGAAGTTAAGAAGCTAGTATTTGTTGTAAAGAGTTATGGTTATTAGTTATGAAATTCACCTCTTTAGAAACATGTTTACAAGACTGTTGGAACAAAAACTATGATGACTGAAAAAGTTGTTTTAATTTATTATGTATATAAATATTTGCTACTTACAGAAAAATAAATAATTTAAGATAGTGCAGATTACTAGTATACCAGTTTGTTCTTCTATACGCATTTTTCGTTATCAACACCTTTATTAAACATGGGCCAGTATTAAAAGAATGATGCAATTATATTAATTGGTTTTATACTTCTCTTTCCCACTTTTCCCACTTGAAGTGCAAGCTGATTTCAAAATTGGAAATTTCATATTCATCTTGTCCTTTGGTATAAGCCTAAGGAACTCTTTTGAATCCTGGCAATTATTTTCACATGAGTTTTTGAGATTTATTGAAAAGTAAATCAACAACAGGAGGTTGATTTTTAAGTTACTCCTCCAAACACTGTTAGATACCATATGCTATTTTTTAGATGAAACAAAGCAAATATTTTGTTATACTGTTATATGGATCTTCCCATTTTATTTTTAGTATTAATCAAATGCATAAGATAAAAATTATCACTAAAATATAGTGTTATTTCTAAGCAAACTTTTTAAAATAGCAAGCTTTCACAAATTAGCTTATGTATTTACTGGAAACACATTTGATTAAAATTTTAGTTTTTATTCCAAAGCCATGCATCTAAACGTGCATCTAAATGTTAAAACCATGCCACTATTTAAATTGCACAAATGATGAATTATATTTAAAGCAGAGACAGTGAAATAGCAGAAAATGACTTTTGTTCTGGAATGCGGGTTCTATTTGCTACAAAGTATTTATGATGAGAAAAATAATATTTTAGCAAGCGTCTACATCTGGGGGATCCATATGGTAAAACATCACAGACCATAAACATCCAAATAAAAAGGATATATTGTGGATTTCAAGATTACTTATCAAACTGACACAGTTTAATGAACTTTTTGAAAATCAAATTAATTGTAAACATATTAGCTTCTTATTAAAATTGTGATTGCATAAAGTAGAAAATCTCAAGACTGTCTTAATACTTTCTGCTGAAGAACAGATCTGATCAATTATGCCTCTAAAAATACTGTCACTTACTTTATGTAATAATGACTGTTTCTGTATGGAACTGAAACTTTTATAGACTGCTGCAGCCTAGTGGAAATGTTATGTGGCAAAGCAGCAGCATACTTAACCACAAGGATGGTCTAAGTTCAGCTGCTGGATTGCACTCCATCCATCCATTTCAACTGACAGGGAGAAACCCAGAGCACAGAGAATCAGTTTTCCTCAAATTTAAGTTAAAATAAATGAACAGATTTGGAGCTTAACTTACTAAATCAAATATTCAGTTAGGCCTGCTGAAATTAAACACAGTAAGCCTCGATTGCAAATTCTCTTTTCCTCTTTTATCGTCTTTTACAAGGACATCAGAAGCTTCTGTTTCAGATTTGAAGCTAGGATGTGATGGCTGAACTCAGGAAACTGTGGTTTGGTAAATTACGTTCAACAAGGAAAATTCTGAAATCAGAGTTTTATCCTGGACTGTTCTCAACTCCAAGTGCATGTAAGAGGAACACGGTAGATTGTGACTCATTCTTGTGCTATGGCTTTTTCATGTGGCAGGGAAGCACGTTTTCCTATTATATTTGAACTGTCCCTTTCGGCAGTTCCATTCAGGCATTTACCATGTGTGGAGAGAATCATAGAGGGTGTACACATGTACTCAAGTTTGTTCAAACGTGGGGATATTTCTCTGGAACTTCAGGAATGCTATATAGCACGTTCACAGATGGCACTGGCAGCTGTCCTCATGTTCAAGCAAACCCAAGTGGATTCCTCTTAAGACTGAGCATGCATAAGTAGAAAGAAACAGGGGCAAAACCTATGTATGCTGTTCTCTCCCCATTTGGTGCAAATGCCTGTATGGGGCTTTTATGATAGCAAAACAGAAGAGACATATAAGTTTAGAGTGTTCTTTATTTCAACTTATTTTAAATAAATTATACCTTTTAAAAACTGTCTTTATTTGCACAAGTTAATATCTACTGAATGTACTTTTGTTATCAACATCAAACACCAGGGAAGCCTATGTATCACGCAGTAATTATTCATGTTCTATCGGGGTTGCCATTCAGCAGAGTTCTAAGCAATGCCAGCTTCTCTCTAGAATGGAAAGTCACTGCTAAAAGAAAAACTACTATTTTAATTTTCCCGGGAAGGGAAGGAGTCATCTTAATCTGCTATGACAAATGTCATGCAGAATCTTGTTTCAACGGTAATGTATTTATTGCAGTGTAAGCTTTTATGAATTATAGTCCACATGAAGTTATGATACTTCCTTCCCCATAAGTCATGGGGAAGACTTATCTGTCTATGACAATAGATATAGTGATACAACCATGAGGAGTAAACCTTTCCACAGACTGAGATGCTAACTTTGTTCCTGTACCTACTCTGACAACCTTAATAGTTACGTAATAATGTTATTAACTATAGCAAGGATTCACAGATCTGATTATCATCCACTGCAACGTAGGCGTCATTCTCACTAATACCCCACCAAACTCTAGAGAGAACAAACTGATACCGAAAATATAGGAAACAGCTGCAAATTTAACATCAGAAATTTTAATTTCCCAAAAGCAACAGCAGAATACTCAAACTTCAAAATGGATATTTTGTAATTGTCCTCAAGGTGACAAATGTTTAATGAATAAATAAGAATTTATTTCATGATAAAATAGTTGAGACAAAATTTCCATTGCTTAAACAGAGACAAAGATGATCAAACTTCATGAATACTTTATCCCAATGGTGCAAGAATATGTGTGTCACAGTGAACCAATATGTGCACAGATTCTATTGGCAAGTAACAGCAATGAATATACTGACAGTATTTCATTTACCTGTAACCCTCTTTTACTATTTAATCTTCTTCCCACCTATGGGTAGGCTACAATTCAGAAAGGCTTATGCTCTAATAAAAGGAATTCGATTTTAAGATACACAAGATTTTCAACTTCTCATATATCAGTGACTAATCTCTATGGTTGCCTTTGTTGTGTAGCATCAAGAATGTGCCAAATGATGCATCTTGAAGATTAATTTCCTTCCATATAAATTACTTGTCTGGTTGTTCTTGCTGGCCTTTAGCCATAATAAAGTTTTGATTTGATCTGATCTATGGTTGCCTTCATTTATCTACTGGAAATCAATGACTTTATACCTTGCATTCATAATCTATTTTCTTGTTGACTGACAGCAGTTTATGGATTATAATTTTATATAATGATAACTACACACACAAAGATTTAAAATGAGAACTGATTGAAAGCATTAACATTAATTACAAAGACAGATTTCCTTAAATGATCTTTAGGTATATGTTGATGTTATTTAAAGCTATGTGATTTCTGTAATTCCAATATAAAATGTTATTGAATCTGGCAACAATAACTGCATTTGTAGGCAATATAATGTCCTGATTTAACAAAGAGAGTAATTTTCTATTGCAGTGATAAATTCGATGTACAAAAGGAGAAATGTACCTACTACTGAAAAACAGTTTTTTCATTTGCTGGAGAGATTTAGTCCTTAACTTGCAGCTCTAATTCATGACCTCTCTCCTCTGGCCATATAAAGCCATGCAACAATTACATTCTGCCTTCATTAAAACCAAGTGATGAATACAATTCATACCAAATTATTTAACTTAATTTACCCTGCTTTTCATAATTTTACTCCTGGGAGAGAAATGGGGCAGATTGCAGCATTTTGGGAGACATGGTTGAGGCCACAGATTATGAACAGGTCAGAGACTATTATTTGACACAGAACAAAAAAGTAGAAAGGCTTTTGTTTTATTTTACCACAAATGAGTTTAATGCTTTTTAAAATCTTTGTGTCCTAATTTCTGTCAATATGAACAGCATAACCTGACATGGCTTATTGCTCTGAGGATATTTTCTAGCATATCTTAGTCTGTAAAGTGCTGATTTACAAAAGAATATCTGAACAACTATCAACCAACCAAATGTATTTCATGAAGCCTTGCTCATCTTTGACCAGAGGAATAGTCATTTTCATAAAACACAAACTACTAGACACAAAGTCCAATTTTACACAGATACACACTACACAAATTCCATTTCTATCTAGAAGTAAATGGTCACATGCAGGTGGGAAGTAAGTAGCATATCACCTTGGTCAGCAAATGAGAAGGCTTTCCTGCAATGTTTCTCAGAAGGAGGGAGGTTTCCCTGTCCAAATAGGAGTGCTTGTGCAGAAAAGAAAAGAAAAGAACAGAAATTAAGTCAAAAGAAAGCCAGTGCAGTAATTTTATAGTGTATGATCAGCATGAGCAATAGACAAGAGCAACTTCTCTCTTTCATCTGAAGCTCAAATAGGGTTCTAGGTATATTTTAAGCCAAGTATAAGCAAGCAGTCAGGATAGTCTATGTATGCTAGTGCAATTGAGTTTTAAAAACATCTATGAGTTCCTTTCCCCCCCCAATCCTGAAATTCTTGTAGGAGCTACTTAACAATTTTATAGAAATATTCTAGAATTTATGACCATGCCAGCATACAATTTTTAGCCAGAAATTCACCCACATGCTTACCAAGTATTTTAACCATTGAAAAACAATTTAATCTAATAACTCCATTCAGGAATTTATTATACAGAGTGCTCAACTTTAATCTGTTCCTACTGCTATTCTCATGATAGTTACTGTAGCAGACCCTTAGGCACTCAGAGCCAGCGTCTGTGGTAGGGACCTCAGGCTGGCTTCCACAAGAGCTAGGACAATTCAGCAATGCATGTTTGCTCTACCTTTGGTTTCCGGGATACATGGAAATAATCAACTAGCCTTATGATGAGAAATTCAGCTTCAACCAAAAGTTAAATATCCTCATCCAGGTACTCATTTTGGCCTTTCTTAGGCCTGCAAAACACCACTTGGAAGCCTTTGTTTAGAAACTTTGTCTGAATGGTTGCTAATAGAAGACTCTAACTTTCCATCTACAAGGATGGTGTGCTGGACGTTTATCCACAAAAATAATAGCAGAGGGAATATACTGAGCTCCCCTTGTATAGAAGACAGACAAAATAGCTGCAAAGCTCCCTGGGGTCTTCTGAGTTGCATATAAAAAAAGTGGTATTTGATTTTCAGTTGAATGGAAAATAGAGAGTTAAAACAAGTAGTCTACTTGAACTTCTGCCCTTTAATGATTTAAGTCCGGCTTCTTAGACTTTCTGAGAATATTATGACTTTAGTTTTACTGCTGTTTAGGCGCAACTGTTGCTCTCTGTAGAAGAGGGGTAAAGATGAAAGTATCCTCAAAAAGTGTTTTGCTTTCTCAACACAGCACTAGATGCAGGCCTAAAAAAGGCTGAAACGAGGACCTGGATGAGGATATTTAACTTCTGGTTAAAGCTGAATTTCTCATCACAAGGCTGGTTGACTATTTCCATGTATTCCAGAAACCAAAGATAGAGCAAACTGCCACAGAGTGGGTGTTTTTCCTAGATGTTGGTAGAAATGGGCAATGACCAAGAGAGAGAGATGCTGAAGTAGACACTTAAAAGATATGGCCATAGACGAAGACTGGGTAGAATTTCTGCAAGCATGGTTGACAGGATTTGGTTAAATCATTGTTGTCCAAACTTGGCGACTTTAAGATGAGTGGACTTCAACTCCCAGAATTCCCCAGCCAGCATGAAGTCCACTCATCTTAAAGTGGCCAAGTTTGGACAACACTGGGTTAAATAATCTCCAGGTGGCACAATATCTTAAGCAGCTTATTTTTGCAGATCACTGCACCCTTGCATGTTTTTAAAAACTCCCTTCAGCAATTTTTAAGGGCAGATAAACATTCTGCTCAGAGAAAAAATGCCCATGTGGGGAAACTGCAAAAGAAACACACTGTGTATATTTGTCTACTGCCTCTTCTAAAGGGATAACAACAGCATTTTTAACACAAAATTTCCAGGTATGCTGGATGACTTTTATGTAAATTATCTACTTGGAGACAAAGATTCCAAAATAACATAGCAAGTAGCATACTTCTGTCTGGCAATATATTGAGTACAGTACTATTGCAAGGAGGAGCATAAAATGCAGAAAGACAGAAATCAAGGTCTTCCTCTTTTATTATTGCATATTACTGCATTTTATGTTAATTATTGACTATTTAAAATATTTGCTTTCATTATGGTTGTTACCATTTTAAACCTACATTTTGCTTCTTTCTTAGGTAAACAAGTCAGGCAATGAATTAATTAAAATCACGGTGTTAAATAACCAGATTTAGTTGTGAAATTATGCCAACTAGAGCAATTGAGGGCAAGCAAACATTTTAAGGGGAAGTGCTAAAAAGTTCAATAGAGTAACCAAGTTCCATAACTATAATCTTGTTTTTCTGGAAATGTTTAAAAGCATACTTAAGTAATTTATGTTTTTGCCTATGCTCGCTTCAAGATTTTAATTTAAAAAAACCCTTAGCCTTTTTATGTTTTTGGATGATATCTTCTATTAGAAGATATCATCTATTAGAAATGCCTTGAAATGTTTTACCAGTATCTTAAATACACTGCTCCTACATATAGCACCGAAAGACTGCTGACACTGATGTGCTAAATGTTACTTTAATAATTGAAAATAAAGTTTTAAAAGTGTAAAAATATTAAGTACCTTAATATGCAGCTAGCTATGTCTGTATTGGGCTTAGTTATAGATACACAATAAATAGAGGTACTATTGCTACTAACACCACCACCACCACGTAAATGTTATTTTAAAACATTTATCTAGCCAATTTTAGATGACAACAAATTCAGGTTATTTTCTAGACAGGAGATGGCAGTAATGTGCCTTGGATAATTAATAAACTCCTGACACAATTGCTTAATCTAATCCTGCATTGCAAAACATTCACAAGCCTCAGAATGAACAATCTATACTTGTTTCATATGGTGACAAATAAAACGTCAGCGGCAACTTTTCAAGCACAGAATAAAGTGCCGGCTTCTCAACTAGATCTTATTTTGGCTGAAGCGGAAAAGGCCTCCCTGTCAAAACTACTATTTGAAGCAGGCAAAGTTAAAGGCATGCTGAACTCAAGCTCAACCCTTGGGTATTGCATCCCAGCTATTTTCTTGGCAGCATTACAGAAGCAGTTTGTCCTGCTAACAAACCTGGAGTTCCCAAGACATCCCCCAGGCAAAAACAAGACAAGGCTGACCATCCTTAATTTGTCTGATTGGCCCAGGCAACAAGGTGCTCTCCTGTGCTGAGGGATCAGCAAAGAGGCAATTTTCTTGGCCGCAGTACAGAACTGTTTTGCTAGTGCTTTCTTCCAGGTTGTGTTTTTGACTTCCTGGTTGAGTTTCCAAGCCAGGCAGCGCGTGGCCACATGCTACTGAGGCTATTTGCTGAGAACCACTGTCTGAAATGCTGTTTGGGCTGAAAATGGCAACGCTGCTAACTTACAACACAACACATGTCTTGAAAGATTGCCAGATTTCACCAGTTTGTTCATCACCAACAGAACCTTGCCAAGTAAGATTCCCATACTTTATAATTTAATCCTTTTGGGATATGAACTGTAGTGGAGAAACTGCACTTCCATCTACACACGTTATAGATTTTAAGTCAGTTATCGTAATTTTACTCAATCTAAGCAGCTCAAGTGGTTCAACAGGATGAGAAGGGCAAATGTTATTGTACTCCTAAACCAATTAAGATTTTATAGCAGGAGTGGGCAGTACAAAGCCACATGCAGCTCCTGGATAGCCCTCTGACCATAGCTGCCAAAAATTCAGCAAAGTATTATGCTACACAGGAAACAGGCAAAACCTGTATGAAACCCGTATGAAATAAATAGGCTTATTATTTTTTTAAAAAATGAAAGAAAACCAAACATTCATCCCGTCTCAAACCAGGGGCAGGGAAGGGAACCAGAAAATCCTTGTCCCGTGTGTTCTCCAACCACCATGAATTATCACTCCATCCTTCTGTCCCTCAAAAGTGTTAACCACAGGCCCAGCCACCAAAGGAATTGGCCGCCCTGCTTTACAAGTTTGCTTGCTTGCTCCCATAAAAACCTGCCTGCAATTTGAGATCTGGGGAGATTCTTCTCAAGACCGTCCTCATCTATGAGACCATTTTTTTGAGAGTGGCCTTTTCTGGGATGCACTCTAGCTCTAGAGCACCTCTATCTACATCTTTAGCTTTATATACCAGACAAAATAAACATGGTATCCACCTTGGCCTTTAAATCAATTTTCTGGTTTACATGTTGCTGTTAAATTTTAAAAATTTAATTACAGTACCCATTGCTGACATTGGATTTGGGTTTTTGCTTGAGTTAACTTTTTAACTCATTGCTTTGATTCTTTTAATGCTTATTTCATTGTTTCATAATGAATTCTAAGAAAGAAAGCAGAACATGCCTTCTTCTGAATTACCACTTCATTAAATGCACCCTGTAATGGTGATGACACATATTTTAAAATAAAGGCTGAATCAGTTATACTGAAATTGCTAGAAAGGTTATTGAGAAACTGCTGACTTGCTTTCTGAAGAACGTGCTTTGTTAAGAAATGCTAAGACTGAAAATATTTAATGGGAAATAATATGTCGGTGAATTAAAAAAGGTGCAGTCAATCCTTCTCTGGCCTTTTTTCAGCTTCTCAAGTCTGCATGGAAGTCTGACAGTGACATGTTAATATGTGACCAAAAACCCCTATGAGTGAGTTTCCTTGGATATTATTTAAAAGCAAAATACTGGAATAAAGGCAAAGGCTTCAGAAAAAATTATGCGGGAGTAAAGAGTTTTAGAGCTGTATTATTTTGATTACTTATTATCTACAATCAAAACTGCTTAAAATGTTTTGTTTATAACCAAACAAGCAAAAAGCATATAAAATATAAACACGATAAGAACTTGTTATCTGCAAGTCAACAAAAACAAAAACATACATAAAAAATTTTAAGTTAGGAGATGTCTTCTCAGGAACCGATTCCCCCTAGGTTTGGTCCTTTGCTCCTTAGAGACTGTTTTAAACACTGTTTGAAGGTGGCTTAAAAAAAGTTATTGACAATATCTACTCATTGGGTGTCTTATGGAGAGCCTCTGGTCATTAGGCTTTGAAAATGCCAGAAGTACTCTCAAGCAATGGATCTGGGACACTGACCTTCAAACCAATTTAAGGCTAGGGTCTAGTCCTACATTTTGGGGGATTCTTCCAAAAGGGTTTGTGCCAGCCTCCTATCT